GATCCACGGCGGGAATGTTGCTGTAACTTGGATGTTAGAAGAGCATTAAAAATGTGTCTGCAGTTGGGGAAAATACCAGCTCTGCTGCATCTCTGAATCAGAGGGCATACAATTTTAATAGTATGGGTCAGAATTTGCCTTAGATGCTTCATAGGGGAAAAGTTTCTTTGCTGACTAGATTTAAAAGTCGGTTCAAGAAGAGCTTTGGGAACCATGTGAATGGAAAGGTGGTGTGCTTCCTAGGAAGAGACCAGTCAAGTAGCAGTCTGGCCAGACACTAAACTGTATCTGCTGATATTGTCAGCTGTAGGATTGTCACAGAAAGGCTCCATATACTTTTTCAGTTCAGTGGATCAATCAGTGTGTAATCAGGCTGTTTTGATATCTGGGCACTAAACCACGCTCCAAACTTTGCTACCTTGACATACTCTATCTTCCTTATTCAGAAAATCTTTGAAAAGTACCCAATTAAATAAATCCTACTAATTTTTTTTTCACTGAAAAACTTTTTTTTTTCTTATCCATTCAGTTCCACTGTGTTGTGGGGCCTTCAAACTCAAAAAGAAAGCAGTTTGCTGTTGTCTTTGTCACTAACCTATTTCTACATCTTTGGAAAAGACTTCTGTCAGGCTTTTCAGAAGTAATGTGTGTCAAGTAATGTGGCACTGGCTAGCTGAGTGTTTTCTTTTTGAGGGGAAAGTTCTGTGAGGATTGATGAGCACAGTAATTCTGAGAAGAAATGGTTCATTAAGAGCACACTTAAAGGTACTCCTGAACTTAATTTATGTCATACCTGTTATTAGGTTGGAGGGACCAGTGGTAAGAATGTAACTTCCAGTCTGAAAGATCAACCTATTTCCGTATGTAACACTTCCAGTAAATTTTGTTTCCCAGTTCTGTTCTTTTTTGCTTAAATAGTGATAAATTGGCCCCTATTTTATTAGACTACAACTTTATCTTGTGCTTAGAGTTGTATATCTCTTGGATCTGTATTATTGCTTTATTGATGTGCGTGTGCTGCTAGCTCTGTAAATCAGAGCTCTGAAGAGTAACCAAACAAGGAGCTAAACTGTTGTTTGCCAATACATTAATTAGATTTGTGACATGCAGGAGCCAGCTGAAAGTTGCAGATAATTCATAGAATTTCTTGTCAATCCAAAGCACTGAGCCTCTGAAGGAAAGCGGGGAGGAATCTGCGCAATACACAGAATTGGAAAACGGAAGTAGTGGCCATAGTATCACGTTGTTTGGTGTTGCACACCTTTCTTCTTCGGTGTTCTGGCTATGGAAACGTGCTTGGGTGATGCATGAGTAAATGGGTTGCAAGTGCATAGCAATGCAGGTGTCAGTAGTTAACCTAACATAATGCCTTGAAATGCACCACAATTGACTAACATTATGACATACCTCTCATTTCTTAACAGATTTAGCTCATACTTGTGTTTGCTTTGTTGTAGGATGGGGAAAGCTGGAGCTTGTGAGACTTGTTCAGGTGTAAGAATAATGTAGCAAGACTAGTAATATCTAATTTATCAGATCCAGAAAATTTTCTGGTTAGCCAGGTGAACACTTTCTCAACAGCTCTAGAAACACGTAAGCCTATGAACCTTATCAGCCTTTGAAACGTGCACATTCTAGAAGTTGCTACAAAATCTTGTCGATTTTTATCTATTTTGCAGTCATCTTTTCTTTGAAATTTTTTAAAACCCAGTTGATTTATTGCAGTAATCAGCCCCTACCTTTCAGTTGAAAGACAAGCAGTGTATGCTGCCTAAAGGCTTTCAACTGAAATGGGAGGGTGGGCTAGTCAGGTCAGTGCAGTCATGGTTTTTTAGAACTCCCCTAATTCTAACTGAGCTGGAAGAAGGAAACTCTGAAGTGTGTTAATGCAAAAATAATATCTGATCAATGTGAAACCAATGCAGGGTTCACTGTAATCTCTGCACAGCAGTTATGCTGTGGGAAATAAGCTGATTTTCATCCAATGAGTTTAGATGGGCTAAGAATGTTTCACATGGAAGCATTTGTTTATATTTGGCCAGTAGATCGTTCTTTTACTCAAAATTGCACCCATTTGTTCAAACTGAAAGCTCTTAGAACTAGTGTTATTTCCTGTCAGAAGTAGTGGAACAGTCGCACCTCATACTTTAAATCCCATGTTAGCAAGCTAGGTGTGAGCTTGTGTAAAGCTCGACTCACTTGAATTCTCCTTGTGTGCAAGATGGAAAGAAGTCTGCAGTTCTAATGATTCTTCTCACTACCTACAACTTTTACTGCTCCTCGCCTTTGTTTGTCGTTTGTTTTCAGGGACTTTTTCAAGGTTCTTCTGTATTTTCAGTGTTTGAGTATCACAGATTTCAAATGTAGGGAGCAAGACTTGAAAATGCAAGCATGCTGCCAGCATAACTGTTCCAGTGTTTATAAGTCAGCCAGCTCAGTAACTGAATCAAAAGCCTAATTATATTAATGAATGTGTTCTCCAGAGTTCTAGTATACTGAGCTAACTTTCAAAACTTGCTTTATAGGATGTGTTCTTAATCTGCTTTTCACTTGTGAGTCCTGCTTCCTTTGAAAATGTCCGTGCTAAGGTAAGTATAGCCTAGAGAGCACTCATTCCTTGAGACTGATTTGGGTCCTGTTTGTTAGGTTTCAACCTGTATTCTTTCCCTTGATTCAGGGAAATGAGGTTCACATGCCCAGTGCTGGGACCAGTCTTCTGTAAAAACAGGTGGTCATTGTCAGTAGCATGATGGAACAGTGCAACTTTACTTAATTGTGCAGGAAGACTTAGCAAATCTGTCTTAAGATGCAGTGTGGTGAGGGGAGGCCTATTCAGTGGAATTCAGAAGCCTTTTTTATTCCTGTCATGATTTTTCCATGGCCAAGGAGAAATTATCCATACTCTTGTGTTGGACTTCTCCCATGGATGGGCTTGGTTTTCCTGACTGCAAAAAACGGAAGAGCAAAGTTGCATTAGGGTTTTTCACCCTGGATAATTGACGACTTCTGGCTAAGACAAGGAGTTGAATCTCTGTATCTGTAAATGCAGGAGGACATTTACAGTATAAAAACGAGGTCTTGTTGGGGTTTGCTTTCTCTTTTATTGTATTGTAAAGGTGTTTGGGGGAGGTTTTGGTAGAGAAAGTGTTTGAAAGCCTTACATGAAAGTTGTTGCACATCTGCTTCTCTTTTATTTTTTTCCAGTGGTATCCTGAGGTGCGGCACCATTGCCCCAACACCCCCATCATCTTAGTAGGTACCAAACTTGATCTCAGAGATGATAAAGACACTATTGAAAAACTGAAGGAAAAGAAATTGACTCCAATCACCTACCCACAGGGGCTTGCCATGGCAAAAGAGATTGGTATGATGATTCCCAAGTTAACATACTAAAATTCATGCTACAGTTTCCTTTTAAGAAAAAATAAATAAAAATTCCCCCCCCCCGGCTTCTACTGTGGCAGTCCACTAAAAGCAGTGTTTTGTGTCACTGGCACACTGTAGAGAATTGTTTTGTAACTTCAACCTCTTTCGCTCTGCACAGGTGCAGTGAAATACCTAGAATGCTCAGCACTTACACAGCGAGGCCTCAAGACAGTGTTTGATGAAGCTATTCGAGCAGTTCTTTGCCCCCCTCCTGTAAAGAAGAGGAAGAGAAAATGCCTGCTGCTGTAAATGTCACCCTCCCTGCCCCCACTCCAAACCCCATGTGCTTTGCTCAAACAATGGAGCATTCACATTCAATGCCAAGTTTTTTCTGTTATAAATTTGTTCTTTCATGACATTTTTGAACCAATCAACAATTTCAGTTTCACTTGTTTTAAAGTATGAGAATTGCTTTTCATTCTACTAAAAGTGAAATCTTAAAAGACCTATGTAAAGCCTTATTTTTAAAGTCCTATTGTTGCTCAGATTAATCAATTGTTGCCAAACTATCTGCTGAACTAGGTTGCATTGTTGTGCTATGAACACTAAGCACTAAACTGTTTTGAAGACGTCTGTCTTTAAGAAGACTCTAATGTCCATTAGGAAATGCAAAAACTCTCGTTTTTCACAGAGAAGTAACAGTACAGTATCCTTAGCAAAATGTTGCTAATGCATTCATTAAACACTTTCTCAACCCAGGGTTGTTGCATAGCATTGTGTATCAAACCTAAATGAGTACAAGAATTGATATTATGACTGACCACCTTGAGTCACAGTAAAAAATGCTTTGTCACTGGTAAGGGCTCAGTTGCAATTTAGTTCTTACTACTACAATTAAATATAAACATTCTTAATTGAAGTTTATCTAGTCCTTTTGATAGCATTGTATTGTGATGGATAGGTGAAGGACTGGTTGGAGATCAAATGAGGTTGCCAGGCAGTATTTGACACTGTACAGATCAATTTATACACTACATTGTCAGAGTAGTTGAAAACTGAATAGACACTTGTCACAGAAAAACCAGTAAACTTCTATCACAGATATGCAGTAGATGAAGAGAGGTTGGTGTTCATAGGTAAGTTCTGGATTTCTTTTCAAGTAGGGCATTCACTTGATGATGTTTTTGAACTGGTCATTCCCACAACTGTTGAACTTAGAAAAATGCTTTTCTTGTAGAATCTCTTCTTACTGAGCAATATAACTTGTATTTTAAAATCTTTGAGTGATAGAATTTGCATTTTTTTTTGGTAGATTAGTTGAAGCATATTCTTATTTTCCTTTTCTGATCCAGTAATTTTTGTGCTTTTGGAGGAGCTTTCTTTAGTCTTCTATATACTAGATGTAAAAATCAAGTGAGCAGCTTTCCAAGTTTTAGTAACTTTTTTATACTTTAGACTTCCTTAAACTATGAACCTTCTCAAGCATCACTGTTTGCCAGGTATCCCAGCACTGTAATGTTACTAATGCTGACAATTGTCCTTTACCTCACCTACATGTACATGTGCATCGATTTATTTAGTAATGGTAACTTGGGTCTGTGAGGTTCTGTAAACTAGTGCTAGTGCTAACAATGTTCTGTACATTCTAAACACTGGCAAGAATACAATGTTGAACTCCACCCTTTCAACCACTAGAGCAAAATTTAAAAATCAAGTTGCAAAATTGTGAAGTTTTTACATTGATCTTTTGCTAATGCAATTAGCAGTATGTTTTGCATGTATGACTTAATAAATTCTTGAATCATGTTATTGGTAATGTGTGAATTTCTGAGTAAGGGTTCTCAGACAGTGCCTGCAGAAGTGTGAATGCTGGCCATTCTTGGTAAACCATGACAGCAGGGGTTTGTTTGGGACTGGCTTTCTGCCAGTCATGTGCATTTAAAAACAGGCTCTTTAAAATGAGTTAGTGTTTGAGATGTTTTGGTGGCAGGCATCGAGATTAGTTTTTGGATCTCTGGTCTAAGAACTAAGTAACACACTTTCCCCAGCCCCCAGCATTGCTCAGACACTGTACTCATTTTGCTTGGCATTAGCTCTTGCTAAAGACTTGCAACCTAACTCCTATGCAATGAATGCTTAGTCCCAAACTACATACTCCAGGAGCAGGTTTTCAAACTCCTGTGGGAAAAGGTTTGAATTTCATGTTAAGTTGTAGAGGCTGTATAGATGATTTCCCCTCCCTCCCACCCCCTTTTACAACAGGGTACTCCACTAGGGTGACATCTGGACTAGCTCAAGCAGGATTTGGAAGGTAGTAGTTGTACAAATAAAGCTATTTCCTTTCCTTGAGACAGCTTTCCATTTTCCCCTCCCTAATTTTTCTTATCAACCTTAATGGGTGATCTTTAGTTCAAGTACCACTAAGTGTCACAGATATGAAAAAAAGCGGTGGGTGGGGGGGGGAATGCTAGATCACACTCCATTTACCAACTGTCAGACTTGACCAAATGCTCAGAAGCAAGGTAAGTGCAGACTGATGTGCTGTGTGTTAAGGAGGGCTGAAAATACTGCTAATGAACATGTTGAATCTTTGCTCCACTCACTGGGGGTAAAACAGGTGATCAGGTTTGTTCATGTCTGATTGTCCCAATTAATGCCCTCCCCGCCCCCCAGTGTTATCTTGGATAGATCACAGGGATTTGAGATGTGGCAGTGGGTTTGTACATTGGTAGGGTCTCAGAAGAAAAGACTGTGGCTTGTGGGGAAACTCTTACTACCCTGGGAGAGGCAGGTTAGCTTAACTTTAATGTCTCCATCTGCATCAAAGTAACTGGGCATAAAAATCTGGTCTCACCCCACAATGTGATTTAAGTTCTTACAATGCTATTAGCCACTAGTTGACCCCCTGCCCCATGAAGACTGCCACTATGAAACACCCAGCTACAGTAACAGGATTCAGTTAACAAAGGAGGGATTCCTACCCTGGAGGTAAAAAGCAAGAGTCTTACTTCTGCAGGAACTCATGGCCTCCAGCAGTGCAACATTTGCTAGTACTATACAGTAATGTTAGCTGATGGTCCTGTTGACTAAGCATTCAAATCACTGAGCAAAATGCTTGCTGGATTGCATCTTTGTCCTACCCTGAAGCATGGGAAGGTATTCAGTATTAAACATTTTTTATTTTACAAGAACTTTATTTTGTCCTCAGTTAAATGGCACAGCAAAAGCAATACAATGGGATCTGAAAATGACTGCTCTGACTATAAAAACACTGTGTAGAAAAATGCTTTGTAAGGGACCTTCTCTGAAGAGTAAGCCATAGAAGCCAAAAAGTTAGATTTGTTTTAAAATCTGACAGCTTGACAACAGAAGCAGGTCCTTAGCCACTGCTTTAAGTCATGGTTTCTGTGGAAACTTAAAAAAAAAAAAAAAAAAAAAAAAAAAAAAAGCAGTTTCCACAATTTTGCATGGAATTGCCAAAAGAAAAGCTTACTAGAATACAAAGAAAGCACAGCAATTCCTGCAAGGCTCCAAAAGTCACCTTCATGTGCCATGATAGGCCTGCAAAAATCCCTTTGTCTCACTGCGATTTAGGTAGGCCCCTAGCAACGTCAATTTACAGTTCTGACAGGTACAAAACTTCCTGAAGGAGCCAATTGCCCTCAAGCTTGTGAATGGAGGACAGGTATGCTGTCCAGCATACCCTTAAGAAATTAATTTGAAGTCTATTTCTACATTCATAATGCAGGAGGTATAGGTGTGAAAAAACATAAAACCTAGGCAATAGATACAAAAATATTGCACGTTAAATACAAGAAAAAAAAATGCACCATGGGCTGTTACTGAAACATCATTTTAGAGGAACAAAAAAGTTTCTGCTGTTTCACTTCGTTGTTTTCATCTTCCCACACACACACACTTCCTCCAGAAACTAGCTGTTCTAGACAGTGCAGCTCTGCTTTATTTTGTAACATCCAAGAATCTTGGTGACATAAAAAGATGGGCAGCAGACCTCATTGTGGCTCAGTCTCCTACCTATAAAATGACTAAGTCTGAAGCAGAGCTGAAGCTACAATACAGGTTGCAACATCTGGCTAAGGCAGGAACCATGCTGCCTCAGTCTCCCTGTTTGTTAGTCGAGATCTAGTGGTTTACACATAATTGGCTCAAGCTCCTTGTATTGTTCCATTTCCAAAGACAGTTGTTAAAATGCAGAGAGGGTTCAAGTTCTGAATTTAAGAGCCTCCACAGAGGCAAAATGCATTTTGCATTCTGAAGGAATCACTTCAACCTCTCGTTTCCATTTCAGGTACGGCATAAAGGATACTTACGTCTGCTTAAGCATGACAGGTCAAAAGCCTCCCGAATACTTCACCTGAGGGCAGCACTGCTGTTCTCATACTACGTTGGTATTAAAATCATCTTGTGTCTGACAGGAAATACAAGATGCTTTATCCTGGGACAAGCTGTTCAGAGCCTTAAGTACAACATCTGGCATGTGATCTGTTATCATCTTGGGACTTATTAAAATATTTCTGAAGGCAGTTTCTTTTGACCATCTTGCAGTGTATTTAATGTCTGAAGAGCACCACCTAGAAAGAAATATTTTGTTAGCCTTGAAGCCAGGTGACTAATGGGCCCCCCACGCTTTGTATGTGCAGTGCTAGAATATTTTAATAGAAGGGGAAAGTGGGATCCTCCAAACACTTGACTGCTCGATTCTGATCCACTGCTGATAACACAAGTTCACCACAGGCATGAGCAGGATCAGAACTAGGCTAACTTGGTGGTTCTGGAAATCTTCCTGCCAAGCTGCTCTTCAGCTGGCTCCTGCTTTGATTACACTTGATTAGGGACATGAGTACAATATGGTGCAGTCTCAAACACTTAACATGGTAGTTAACAACCAGAGTGATACTGCTACTATGACTTTTTTCCCCTTAGTTTCTGTTCACAAGTTAAGCTCTTCCATGATAATATTTATAGAACAATTAATATTTATTAGATTAGTTCAAAATGCTATGGGATTTGATATATTGGGCCTGCTCAGTAGGTAACATGGTAGTAGTAAGAACCATCCTTGTTATGAAATATAAAACGTTAACTAAAAAGGGTCCTGCCCCAGTAAACTAACTATAGCACATCCTGGTCTACAACAAAGGCTCTAGGTACTACACCTACATTTCTGGGCCAAGAGATTTACGATGCCCAGACTCAGGTTATTGCTGTTTCAGTACACACCACTGACAATATGAACCGTTTACACTAATGTCTTAAGATGAATTGAACAGTGAGGGAAAAGGCCAAACCGCTCAAAAGCAAGGACTTGGGTAGCTTTTGGCATTTCCTCCCTTCTGGTCACTGAGGCTGCTCTTGCCTGAATCATGTTTGCTGCATTTCAAGACAAAACTGGAAAGGATAAAAGCAGTTTCCTTCTTTACAACACTTAAAAAAAGGATTCCCTTTCCCAAAAGTTTCAGACCCCCATTTGCTCTGCAGTTTGCATATCTTTTCCCTTCCTGCTTCAGGTTGAGGGAGGGGGGAACCTAAGGCAGCATGCTACTTGTAGGAATTATTAGAGAAAAGATATCTGAGACAAGAGCTAAAAGGCAAAAAGGGATCCGAACTACAGATATTGAGGCAAAAATGAAACTGCTCAGTAGAAATGCAGCTTCTCTTTCTCACCTCCCCCCAGCTGCAACAAACCCATTTTTATAGAAACCAGTTTTGACACCACGTAGGTTCTCCATGGAAACTACTATATCTCTAAAGTAATTATGGTCACCACGTGTTTACATATGTTGACTATATCAACCCTGTCAAATATTTAAGTAGCATGTACAAACATCCAGCCCTTTCTGGTCATTATGATCACTGTACTTCACTTGTACTTTTTCATGGAAAGGAGAGGGGAAACTGGAGCACTGGGTGGAGCAGAAATCAGTAAAAGGTAAGAGCAGTCGGAAAGAACTGGCTGGAGCATGAGCAAGTGAAGGAAAAGATGGAGACGGGAGCCAAGGAAAGCACTTGAATGGTAAAGAGAAGTTGAACACTTCATGCTTTACTGAAGTGGACCTTTGGTTTATCTACCTTCTTGTGCTGGATTCTTCTACAATATGGATGATTTTCCCAGGAAGATACAGCTGAGGATACTGAGGTGAATTTAAATGAGATTCATCCCCCAAGGTACTGTAAGAGGGTGAATGATGAACCATCAAACTCTCCTCAGCCAGAAGAGGTTGGGTCAGGGTGTCTTGACTTCTACCATCCAGCTCAGTTGAGAAGTTACCTGGATTTCCCCCAAAGACTTCATACCAACACCCACGCAGTAAGATCTGGTACTGAGTTCAGAAAGAAAGCAACAGAATATAAAAGTTAATGACTATTCATTTTCCCCCACACATTGCCCCCAGTCACTTTTTAGTTAGCAAGATCACTACATCAAAGTTTCTGCACAGTAACTGCACCTATTTCTTTGGTACACAGCCTCATCCACTTAAATCACTCAGGGTCAAATAAAGGAGAAACAGCTCTAACAGACCATTTGATTTTGGTGGGTTTTCTTGTCAAACTTTATAAGCTTCCCCCCACATCTGTGACTTCTCACTGCCCTCTGCTGCTTCTCCATTTACTTCTAAGCATTCTCAGGCAGCAGTATTTAGTCTTGATCCCACCCTTCTCTGCACCCTCAAAGGAGTCTTTTGCCTGAACACATCATTCCCATACCATGCACCCCATCTCATGCAGTCCTCTGCGACTTCTCCTGTCCTGTGGATGGAACCATAGGATCAGAGAGAAGGAGGGCTGGGATGGACCCCCAGAACTCATCTAGTCCAACCCCCACTGCTCCTTCTATGCGATGGTGCAGCCAGACAGAAGCCTGCCCTGCTGGTAGGAGTGGCACCCATCTCTACAAGACTCACACTTCCCTTTGTTTCCAGGAGCAGGACCAAGCTTCATCTACTGAGCCTTGCTGGAGTGTTGGGTCTACCAGTCACTCTTCAGTCAACTGGAGGGACTGCAGCCTCCACAGTGCTCCAGTTAGAGCAGAGCAACACCCAGGGAAAGCAGAGTAAACATCCACTGCTGGGCTTCCCACAGTCTGTCCACCTGGGGAACATTTCTAGTCCATGCACAATCCTACTCCCTACAAATAAACTGTTGGTCCTAAAGTACTCAATTTCCCCAACTTCTGCTAGGCATAGTGTGTATGGTACCTTAGGCCTGTTACAATTGGCCACTATTCTCACGATTCTTCGTTTCAGGTCTTCCATGTTGGGCATACTTAACCTGTTTAACATACAGAACAAAGAGCCTCTTAGCATTCTCCGTTGATCAGTATTGCCCAAAGAAAGCAGAGTTGTCCACCTCCTGCCAGCAAACTCACCTTGCAACGAGGTCTTTTCCAACAATGACAGATATGATGAAGTGCTTAGTGTAGTCTGCAAGTGATTTGCTAAAAGACACAACACAAGAACAAGCCCCATGCATACATTTGAGTTTCAGGCCAATCTGTTATTTTTATATTAAACATGTGCTACAATAAAATAACTCAAAAGAGTGTTAACAGTTATTTTACTATACTTTTAAGGCTAAGTCTAGAAAGGACAGGAACACGGACACAGCTGATACTGAACCTGCTACATATGCCACATCTAGATGTTTAACAAGGCCCAGAAACACCAGACAGTTTCACACTGTGTTTTGGAAGCGATCATTTGCAGCCAGAGCTCAAAGTATTTGTTAATTAAATAAAAATCACTGTATAATTATTTTTGGCCACTTAGGAACAAGGCTTAGCTTAAGACTGTACAATGCCAACCAACCTTGCCATTCAAAGTCTTTATAAACAGGCTAGGGACAAGTCCCAGTCTCACCCAAAGCCAAACACCAGTCAGAGCAGATGAACTGTTCAAGTGTTTTGTTTTTATACAGAGCTTAAAGTGATGGCTTTTAAGCCATAATTAATCTCCACTATAACTACTGTCACACCGGGATTTCTCTACCTTGTACCAAAGCCAAGCACAGCAGTACTGCATTTACCTTAACAGCCCTCCTGGAGGAGAGAAGGCATAACACCGGAGCATTGGGAAGGAGTTCTTAAGCAGGATGGCCAAAATGGAGGCTGTTCCAGCACCTAAACTATGCCCAACTATCACCAATTTATACTCCTAGAGACAGAAACAGAAGAGTTCCAAAGCATGGTTAAAAAGCAACCTCTTCACATGGCAAACTCTCTCACTTCAGTTTCCATGGAAATTTTTTAGCAGAAATCTTGTTAGGAAAGCTTAAAACTCCTATGGAGTTTGCAACTTACAGGGGCAATGGTGAGAGCCTGGTTTAGAATTCCATCATTTATTAGCTTTCGGTAAATGTAATTTGCAGCTTGTGTTATACCCTAGAAGACAGCATTAAGTTAGAGACAAGAGTTACCCTCTGCTAAAACACAATACATGGATACCTATAAAATAGAGTCTGAGGAGGTACACTACCCAATATTTTCTGCAATATTTAGCAGTCTAATTATTTCTGCTCAACAGAGCTCTACTGACATATATATGCACTGCCCCAGCAAGGGACCTTGCTACTCTACTGCACATTTTACTTAAAAATGCCAGGAATACCTTAAAAAAGAAAAAAGGGAGGGGGCAGCCAACCAGTGCATGGGTGCCACAAGTGGCACAGGGCAGAAAGCAAAGCAGCAGAGTAGGTAGGGGAAAGGGATGGGAGTGGCACTTAGGGAGGGTGCAGAGGTAATTTGTGGGATGCCTCCTACAAAATTGGCCACACCAATCTAAAGGGACAAAGTCAGGTTCTACTCTGCAATGTTGGAGGCAGAATTTATTACTGCCATTGGGCCACCCAGAGAGCTTGTCTAGTCTGATTCAGAGAGAGCTCTTTCC